AAAACTTAGAAGCTGAGAGGTATATTTAAGATCTCTTGGAGACAAAATCTAATTGAATCATGGCGTTGTTGACCGATCACTGCAATCTTACGCGACAATCGACAATCTACGCGAACGAATGATGCGCTTTGCAGGACATTGCTGGCGAGCAAAACAAGAAATTGCGAGTGATCAGCAGGTCTGGACACGTAGCCATGTTGTAAGACAGGTTTGTCGATCAGCAACACGTATATTGACCATTTATTTCATGGGATATAATGCCACTCTAATGACGTTTCCACCTAAATGCAGGACTGTGATGTTTGGCGTGGCTTTTAAAAAGTCCGAGCTGGCTTGACCGAATAATAATATATATCATCTATTATATATATATATATATATATATATATATATATATATATATATATATATATATATTTATATTATAATATAAAATTATATGTATTGCGCTTGTCAAAAAGTTCATTCTATTTTTTAAAGGAAAATAATATTTTAATCACAAATGATAATTCAATCAAACATAATTAGTTTTGTTACACTATCTTCTGCCATCAAAGAATGTCCTGTTTTAATGACGAAAAATTCTTCCAGGAGATTTTCGTTTTCCATCCTCTTCAGTGTAGAAGGTCTGACTATTCAATGAAATTTGAAGAGACTGATAAAGGTGCGCATGCAAAACGGTGAGATTGGAGTTATCTGCTTAGAATGCTTCTATGGTCGAAAAATAAAAAAAAAACAAAACAACAAGGCATTATGTCCAACTCATTTTTTGTTTTATCCTTAAAGAGGTTACAAACAGACAAATGTGTAACACGATTTAAGCAACAGCGACACGCGCGTAGATGAAAGAAGAGAGGTTTATTGTAAACAGAATTCATTACTGAAAGACATGGAATCAGGTTGCAGGTTAGTAATTCCTGAAGCAAGCCCCCAGGTATATCCTGTGTTCACTATGTACAGCTACTGATATAGTCAGTCCAGATAGACAATAGGGAGTGTGGGACATTCCATTACAACATTAGGATAATATATATTATAATATATCATAATATATTATATATTATTATGGTAATGGTAATATTAGTATGGTAATGGTAATATTAACCGTTTCCTTACAAGGAAATATGAATACCTATCATGTTACATACTATGTTCCATCAAGAGAAACGGAAAAGCTGACATATCAGGAAATTAGTTCTTAAATATGTCTATTTCAAATTCGAAGCAACTATAAATTCATACATTCTAAACAAAAGGCAAGTTGTATGAAACTTGCACCCAAACAATAAACTTGATAAATTTAAGTCCAATCAAGGAATATTGCATCATGGTCTTAGTTTTCTCAGAAGGTAAAAAAATAGGACATAACTAACTCTCACTCTAATTTCTCCTAAGAATCCTCATAAATGCACATCTGGAGCTACATAGAGCAAAAGCTGTTCTAACCGTTTGTAGTGGCCTTTCCCCTATGCATCAATGGTTTTATGCTATGACAAGGATAGATGACCTTTTCAAGAAGACAAAAGTATCGACTATCCTAGCTTACTTGAAGGAGATTGGTATGTAACACAAATTATAGCGTTAGAAAATTCCACATATTTGGCAAGTGATGGAATCAACAACCCAGATGATGGTTTACCAGCAATAGATTTAATGACAAATAATATTTCCCTCATTTTCTGTTCTGAATACATGGTTGCCAGCAAAAAGGAATGTCGAGATACAAATTAGAGATACCAATATCAATCAAGTAAAAAGAATTAAAATATCTGAGAAGTCTTTTAGAATACTACAGAATATGTTCATTGGAATAGGGAGATATGCTTTCCAAAAGCTAATGAAAGTAAGAAGAAGTGGGAAAATTCGTTAGAAACAAAGAAAAGTGGGCTCAACTGTTATTTTATATCAATTTAATTATGTGGCAGTGAATGCTGGTCATTTTCCTCACAGATGAATAAGAATGATTATGTACCCCTAAAAGATACTTAACACTAGGAAAAGACAGTTAAAATATCTAGGGCACATACTGAGGAAAGAGCGATGGAAAATGTGATACCCACAGGACTGACTGAAAATAAGAGGGACAGAGAAAAAGAAAGTATAACCAATTTAGCGGGCTTAAAGTAATCGGCGATAGAACAGGTTTAAGGAGAGATAACAAAAAGACAAGATTTATTAAGAGCTACAAAGAACAAGAAATTGTTGAGAGTCATGATAGCCAACGTCCTGAATTGACATGGCGCATATAATAATAATAATAATAATAATAATAATAATAAGAAGAAGAAGAAGAAGAAGAAGAAAAAGAAGAAGAAGAAGAAGTTTCCGATTGCTAAAATCGGATTTTGAGTGTCAACTGTTAAAGCGTTATCTTAAGTTTAATTCAAATGTAAACCAGATACTTTCCTTTTTTGAAGAATAGAAAAAAGTCCCACACTAAATGTTTAATATATTGAAATATAAAGTCCTTTTCTAAAAAGGGATATTTCTCAGCATTAGGGATCTACTTATCAGCCATCGTCTTAACCCTTAGCCCTGCGTTCCCGAACAATTTTAACCCTTCTGCTTGAGCTCCTGATTCAAAATTCTCAAATAATTGGTATATAATGTTTCACGGTAGATATAAAAATAGTTCCAAGTATTTACCCACCGTTCAGTCGGTTGCTGGGCATTAAGTCATTTTTTCTACCACTGTTCAACTGAGTATTACGACATTTTTTCCTACAACCATTAAAACGAAATACATTTATATTATTCTGATACAAATTTCATCTCTCACTCTGGCCTAAAATTTTATCTATAGGAGTTGAGATAATATTTATCATTATATTCTAGAAATTTTGTACAGAGATCGATCTTCATTATTTTGATACCAGATTCATTATATTATATTTACTAAAAATTGTTTTATAGGACTGTAGACTTTATTTATATTCAATCCTCATAATTTTTAACACGCATACGTTTTCTAGATTGTGCAACTATATCATTATTTTACCTGGACTAAAAGTTTGTTTAATTTTTTTTTTTTTTTTATCGGACTGGATATATTATATATCCATCACCCTCATAATTTAGATGATAAATACATTTAACTTTTTTTATATAAGGGTCATTTTTCTGCTTTATTTAAAATTTGCTCTATACGATTGAAGAATTTACTTTTCAATCAAGTCTTGTAATGATGAAGATAGTTAAATTGAACTAATTTTGATGTCATTATTTTATGTACTGTAAAACCGGTTTTAAGGGTGCTTGTAAAATTTGACACTTTGAAGACAAGAGAAACAGAGTAAAGCAGCACATAATCTAGGAAATGAGCTTGTGTAATTGGTTGGCTGAACAGGGATTAGGAGAGATACCAAAAAGACAAACTCTGTTGAGAGATACAAAAGGCAGGAGATTGTGGAGGGCCTTTATTACGCTAGTTCTGAAACAACACGGCATATAGATGAAGATGAGCTAATTTAAAAATGAATCAAGTACTTGATCTTTTTCTGTCTACTAGATTGTTTTTGCAACACGCACTGTATTTATTACTTATTGTTAAAATTATTGACAACATTTTTTGACGGGATTTACAAATGTTACGATTCGTTCAATTTCACAAACCAATCGATAAAATTTGAATAAGCTGAATTGTTTGGAAAATACTTTCACAAAACCCCTACTTCATAATTTCTTTAATTTAATTTAATAAATCTTCATGGTAAATAATGTTTTTTAAGAAAAATTCTTTTTTTTTTTCCTTTTTAACAGCGAAGACTCAATTCTTAGGGTTTCTGATTCATCAACATTAAAACATATAGCTAGCCATTGGTAAATATGACTTTTTGGAGTCAAATTTCAACTTTTCGAAGCGTTTGGACTTGCAATTTGTTTATAGTTCTCGCAAACGCAGGACGAACTGGGAATTGGATCATTGTATTTATATTAAATAAGTATTTTCTATTTTGATCAATAAATTGTTTTTAAAATAGTTGGAGTATTTTGTATATTAAATGATAAAACTTTTAATTCACCCCCCAAAATAATGAAATTTTATTTTACTGAGCTACGCACCCTAGCAAAATACCAGTTGCCCTTTGTATCTGTTTGCACTTCTCTCCAAAATATGATCTCGATTTGTCAATAGATGGCTATTTTAGACGGTGAAACTGACGGACTAACGAAAAATTTAGAATTATATATATATTTAGATTAAGGAAGGAAGTCTTGTTTCTTGCATGTTGGAAATCCTCTTAAATACTTGCACGCTTTGCCTTAAGAAGTAGTTTCCCTAGGGTAAACTTCCGTAGTTCCTGCACTTAAGAATTCAGATGGAACGACGGAAAAGAAATAAGTTTACTTATTTTGAATATTGTTTTCATTATTCTATCTCCTTAAAAACGCGCGCAATGTGATTAAAGGCTTCATTTATAAAACAAAACACGTACTTTTTCATCATTTTCTTTGTTTTTGCTTGTTTTATTATTCTACCAGTTCTAAAACTTTTATAGATTTGGAGGGATTATCTATCAAGTAACCATTTTTGAAGAGAAATAAATTCATTTCATTTTGATAACGGTTACATAATTCTATCAGATTTAATATCTATTTTGTCGGATTAGAGATTTTATTTAGTAATCAACCTAAGTACCCTTGAAGACAAAAAAATATTTTCTTTATTCATCTTAAATGGAGACTGTCATTTTGGATTTATTTATTTATTACTTTCTCTTACTTTTTACTTTTCATCTTTTTCATTCATTCAATTCTTCTTTCTTTCTTCTTTTCTTCCTTGACCCATATTTATCACACTATGTTTCAATATTTCTTCCTCTTTCTTTCATTCTTTCTCGCTTTCATTATTTCTTTGTTTTTATTATTTCTCTGTATCTTTCTTTCTCTCTTTTTAATTTTTTTCTCTCTCTCTTTTTATTTCTTTTTCTTCTTTTTTTCTTTCTTTCTTTTTTCTTTTCGAATTTCTTTTTCTTTCAAGTTCTCTCTCTTTCCTTTAGTTATTCTTTCTTTCTTTCATCGATTCTTTCTTTCTTTTTGTTCATTCTTTGTTTTTCTTTGTTTATCTCACTTTCTGTCTTTTATTCTTCCGTCCTCTTTCTTTCTCAATTTCATATTTTTCTTTGATTCCTTGTATTGCTTTCTTTCTTTCTTTCTTTCTTTCTTTCTTTCTTTCTTTCTTTCTTTCTTTCTTGTCCTCTCGCTTTCCTGTCCTTATTCTTTCTTATCTCTTTTCCATAGAAGACTTATAATTTGAATTGGCCAAACCCTATTTTATAGGATCAGAGGCCTTATTTATCAAACAACAATTGTAATTCAGAAGAGAAATGAGTTTGTTTCAATTACTTTCGATATCAGTCTTATTATTCGATCTATTGTAAAATTTGTTAATAAATTTGATGATATTTCTTATCATTCAGTCTTCGTGATATTGAAGATAAATTAATTTGTTTCATTCTTATAGCAGCTTAATTATTTTATGTGTTCTAGAACTTGTTTAATACAAATTGTGATTTTATCTAGCATTAAAACCTAACAATAAATAAATTACATTAATGAAAAAGATGATTATATCTTTGTAGTTTCAATTTCAAACAAATTTTGAGAAAATAGATTAAGTTATAGTTTCCTTATTCGGTAATAGATAAAAAAATGTCTGCCCTATTTATTATCTTAAGCAACGGTCAGCTAAACTGTGTATTACACCTTAAACGAAAACCAAAAATCAATGCTTTAATTCGAGAAATATTTTTTATATTAATTCAAATCCATTTCGCTGATGAAAATATAAGTCTTGCATTTTTCGAAATAACCAGTATATGTTACAGGTTTAGAGAAATTTCCAACTGCAGAAGAACTTCCCATCCTTTCTTATATTTGCTATATTGTTATTTTTTTTCTTAAAATACTGATAATTTTCTGTTGGTATTAACTTTACTTTCATATTGGGTTTCGAAGATTATATTGTGCTTCTTTCCCAGGGATAACCTGACAAGCATGAAAATTATTTTTCATAAAACTCAAATGCTGGCCACTAATATTGCTAGAAAAATACATAAATATATACTCCAGCCTGCAGCAGCTACATGAACGTTTACGCGCACGTATATGCGTGTTTGTAAGTCCTCATTATAACAATATGGAAAAAAACATTCTGAGCTTCAAGCAAAAGGCTTGGCAATTTTTGTATAAGAAAAAGATTAGAATTCAGCGAATCAAATACCAAAGTGAATTCACCAGAAATACTGTAGATTCTGCATGTTCTACGTTGCATGTGCGCATATCGAGCGGTTCGTTCAAGTTAGGATCTGTGCAGTGGCTGCCATTATGATGAATAGGCACTGAAGAGTGCGACGGGGTAACAGGTCGAAACTTCTGTGCGGATGTGCATTTAAAGAAATAAAGAAATTTTTTTAGATAAGTTTTTAGAAACTTGCTATGTATTAAGAACATTAATTCTATTGAGCTTAATCAAACATCGAGTTGCATGCAAGGGAATAGACTGAGAATTTCAAAATAACAGGTCTAGTGGCTTGGCAGTATGGATTTAAAAAATCCACATATCACCTGCGTCCCTGTTGTTATTCTATTTCTAAAATGACAGTAGGAATTTTCCTTGTTTGAGCGAAGTCATTGACAGTCGGATAGCTGAATGTGTGTTAGGTGTGATGAATAACGGATCAGATGAAGCGATCTAAGTGCTGAGTATGAATTCCAGTTCAGTCTATTACACTCATACATAAATAATCTTGGGAATGGCGTAAATTTATATCTTCCCCCCATCAATGGGTTAAATAGCAAGACAGTGTTCTATAACCTTGGTTGGTATCCAATTTATAAATGGTAACACCCATCCCCTACCATCCTTGATGCGTTGAGATGCATCAGCCTATGAGAAAAAATGGTGACTGAAATTCTTCTGTCGTTACAGTTTTGCGTTTTTTTTTCTGTAGGGAGAGAAAATATTTCTGATCATCATCCTATTTGATAATGGGGATTTTACAAGTATATTAGGATTATCCAAGTTTAGAAGCTCCTTTACAGTTCCTCTACTGTTATTATTTTTCTAAGATGAAAACAAGAATCTACACGTAGCAAAATCATCTAGCGAATAATCTTCCCTTTACTAAAAAAAAAAAAACGGTTGCTAGAATGAATATTAATAAATAAGTGTTTGACAACGTTCCAATAATTCATATTAAAGAATTCAATTATATTCTTATCAAACCCTAGATTCTGCAATGAAAGTTCTAGCGAAGTCGGCTCCGAATCCAACCAAGATTTTCCTATTTGGAATTCTTTAAACATATATACTTTTATTCATGTGTCAATTTATGTCTTGCTTCGAAACAAAAAAAAAACTCTACATATATAAACAAATTCACACATATTTTTGAATCATTTCACTCGAGCAAGGTGAAACTAAGCCACAAGAGGTCACTGAGGATAAAAAAAACAACAAGGTGAATAAAATAGAGAAAAATCATAAAGATAAAAGACAGTTAACATAATAAGATTCAATGACGATTGATTTGGCATTTAATGTTTTGAACATTTGCTACATCGAAAACCGAAGGCAAAATGGTATAGCGAAAGTTAGTTTCTTAAAGCTAAGCAAAGTATTAATAAATAGGAAAATTTCATTAAAAGCAAAGAAAAGAGAACATGATTTTTATGTAACCACGGTCATCCTATATGGCAGTGAAACTGCACAATCTCGTCATAGATGAAATGACTTCAGGCAATACAAATGTCGTTCTGCAAATGGAAGCTGAGCATAACATGGAATGAAGGAAGTTTCAAGGAAAGAGGAAGCAAAAAAAAGGAGACCTATAATTAGCATCAGAAAGAGACATTTGGAATTTCTAGGGAACATAACGAGGAAAGAGAAAATAAAAAAATTGACACTCACAGACACGCGGGACAGAAGAAAGCATTGCAGAGAATAAATAACGAACGTCTGCAAATTGGTTGGTAGAACAGAAATTAAGAAAGATAGCAAAAAGGCACAATTTACTAAGAGATACAGGACAGGAAATTGTGGAGAGCTATGGTCACCAAAGTCCTGAAGCGAAACTGCACAAGAAGATAAAGAAGGAGTAGACAAGAAGGCATGAAGATGACGGTATATTCCACACGTCGGAAGTATAAGAAAAAAAATAGAATTGAAGTTACGGTTACATTTAGTAATTTAACAATCAAAAGATGAGACCTAGCTGTCAATCAAGTACTACGCTTAAATTCATGAAGTCAGCTACAATTTGAAAAAAAAATTATGACAGTATTTATAGAAAACGCAATGGGGAACTACGGTAGAGGAGTGAGAAAATGGCTGAAACAGAGATAAGAAATCAGGACAGAAAGCATTGGTGATTTTTCAGTGGATTTTGCCAAGAATCTCTAGATATATAACAGAAACAAAACATCATCTGTGGCAGCAATATTCAATGCATGATCCCCAATGGTGGGATCAAGAAAGTGCAAGACAGATATTGATGAGAAGAACTAACACCTAGAGTAAAACTGTAGCTGCATTATTTTGCACCTTGATATTTCAACAATTTGTGAGTGTCAATCCGAAGAGGTACTTCAGTACGCTTGTAATTAATCATTTATTTTAGTTGAAATAATTATTTAAAAGACAATACCTCCATTGTCAATGCATTTAATTCAGTGGTCATTAATTATCACATAGAATATTGTACAATAAAAAATTAAAAAAAAAATCCAACAAATAACTCTTATATAGAAATGTTGAGAATTCGCGGGCCAAACAACACGCCCAATTCTGAACTAGTTATCAAACATTAGATACGTTTTGTAATATTTTCAGCTCTCTCCTGTATTTTCCACTTTCGCCACAAGATTGCCGAACTTGAAACTTGTAGTTACCCATATGTCAAGTTCGAAAAGATAATGTTCGATTTTAGAATAAACTTTTGTATTGTAATATATTAGCATAATCGTTGCACAAAAATATATTTCAGATTACATGACTGAAGTGTCTTCGTGTTAATCTTATATCAATATTTTTCAGATTTTAACAATAATAAAACCCTCTAATCTTGCGTGTCGTTTGTTTTGTGCAATTAGATATTTTACGTCGGTATTTTAAAATTATTTATCAATGTTTTCTTTTAAATATTGAATCAATTTTTAAAAGAGAAACAACAAAAACAATGCATTATAGATGCGTTGTACCCAATTGCAAAGGGAATTATAAAAACGGTCCTAAATTATATGTATTTTCTTTCCCTAAAGATAATAAATTATCTGATGTTTGGATACATACAATCAGAAGAGATCATTTTTCACCTACTAAATTCAGCAGAGTGAGTATTTTTTTTGTATTAAAAAATAAGTAAATTTTATTGAAACTTTAATAGTGAAATTAATACCATGTCTTTGTAATTCATAACGAAAAGTTAAGACATAAATCTTGCGAGAATGTTTAGAAATTCATTATAGTACGTTTTGTTTTTTAAAAGCTAAAACATCATTTTTTTGAAAACAAAACTTTAAAGAAATTTTCGATATAAATTCATAAAGGAATATTTTTATATACATAAAAAAATAATTTTAATAATTTTAATGATTTTTTTTTAGAATTGTTTTATTCGTGACTAAATGAAACTTTAATTGAATTAATTTCATATCTGTAATTCACAACACATTTTAAAATAAAGTTTTGTTTTTAAACGTTATTAAAGACATTTGAAAATCGATCTCAAAGTGCATGGTCATCTTTAATTGGCAATAAACATAAAAACACTAGTAGAACAAAACCCGTATCAACGCGTCAAAGAAATGTTTCAGACAATGTATGCCAACATTATTAGCACATCTCAGGAAAATTGTCATATGGATGAAACTCGATAAATGCACTCAGTGAAAGTCGAACGGTTTAGCGTATTGAAGTATGTCAGATGCTGCATCTGTGAAATTCCAGTGATGCATTTGTTATTCGAATAGTGAATTGTAATGTGAAATCGATACGTTGTGACATTTGTAAACAGTTCACACAATGGCTTGATCATGACGTAGAACCCCAAAACTGAAATTGCATCAACAGATAGATTATTATTGTCTGACGGTCTGCCATTGGCCATATACATTTCAGATTTCTGGAATCTAACGAGAGCATTACTGTCGAAGTTTACTGTCAGCGAGTGGGTGAAATGGCCACTCATTTAAACAAACTCCGACCGGGACTGGTTAATAGATGATGTCCAATTCGGCTTCATGATAACAC